AGATGTAAATGAGACAGAAAAAGACCCAATTAAACACAAAAAAAGCAAAATAAGACGTGATCAGACACAAAACAACCAAAGAGGCACGAAAAAACACAAAATCAAACAGAAAAATAAATGAAAAGAGACACAAACTGAGGGGAAAAAGCCACAAGAGACACAAAATGAACAAAATAAGACGCAAAAAACCCAAAATGACGCAAAACCACAGCAACATAAACACAGAAAGACTTCAGAATGACTAAAAAAGGGCCAATATGAGACCTGGAATGGACTCAAAGACCCAAAACAAACAGAAAACAAATGTAAAGAGGGAGGAGCTTCGGTACAAAAAGCATCCAGATTTCTCTTCCAGGTTCTTGAAGATCCCTGCTCTGGATGAATCTACACGACGACACAAAATTACTGAAATAAGACCCAAAGAGACACAAAAACCACCAAGAACAACGCAATAAGGTCAAACTAAGATGCAAAACGACCAACAACAGACAATACGTGATGCAAACAACAAACAGAAAGACCAAAAAAAGACACAAAACAACCAAAACATCTTCACAGAAAGACTGATTCGGACACAAAACAACTAAATTTGGACGCAAAAGACAAACAGAAAGACCGAAATGAGACAAAAAACAACTGAAAGAGGTCAAAGGGAGATGCAGAACCACCAACAACAGACAATACAGGATGCAAAAACAGAATAGAAAGACCGATTCGAGGCACAAAACAACCAAATTTGGACACAAAACGTCTTCAAAGACAAACAGAAAGACAGAAATGAGACACAAAACAACCCTAATCTGGGCTCCATGATGCTAAAAGCTGTTGCATGTGCTGGTTCTTCCACATGACTCCTTGTTTCCCTTCTTTCTATATTAAGCCTCAGCTACACAAACGTCACGCCGCCGACCCAGATGCCAGATCAGACGTGTTCTGCTGCGCGTCACCGTGTGGAAATGTGCTGAGGCAGCGTTTGCATAAAGCCGCCGTGTCGATTTCTTCTCCCACGCGTCACAACTCTGGACGCGAGTCAACGCGTCTCCATACGAGCGGCTGCAGCAGTCGAGCGGCGCTGCAGAGGTTAAAGGACGACGCCGACTGTTCCAGTGTGTTAATGTGGAAGTCATCAATTAACTGGAGCTGCAGTCCATTTCTCACAGCGGCTTCATGTTAACGGCAGAAGGACGAAGAGCAGCGCGTCCTTCAGGAGTGTTTCCCTCTACAGAACCCATGTGTGTCCATCTCTGTGAGGACCGGTTTCAGGGTTCAGACACCAAAGTGAGGACGTTTGGGTGAATCCTGGCTTCTTCAGGAGACTGGATAAAGATAAAGGTCAGGATTACTGAATCCTGGATACATACGTGGGCAGGAGAGAAAGAGGCCCAGAAATAATCCCAGAGATGCAAAAAGAGAAAACTGAATCACACTATTGACCACAAAGCCACAAAATAAGATCAAAATCATAAAGAAAATGACCAAAATGAGACTAAATAAATAAATAAAATGCAAAACTACCAAAACGAGACATAAGGTTTCTGCAAGGAAATGCAAAAACACAAAAAAAAAGATAAAAAAGCCAAACTGAGATGTAAAACATCTATAAAATAGCCACGAAAAGACTTTGATGAGACACAAAACAACCAATTAAAGACACAAATGAGACGAAATACAACCACAGACACTGAAAAATAAGACATGAAATGACCGATATCATCTGTGGAATGACCACAAGAGCCACAAAAAGACAAAATAAAACCAAAACGAGAAGGAAAAAAAACCAATCTGAAACAGAAAAAGACTAAAATGAGATGAGAAAAGGGCACAAAAAGACATTAAATGAGAAAAGAAATGACCAAAATTACACAACGTACGATCACAAAAAGGCCCAACGAGGCCTCGATAGGACACAAAATGACCAACATGAGACACAGAAGAACCGCAAGAGACATGAAGAGTAAATCAGAAAGATCAAAATGAGACATAAAACGAACGCAAAGAGACAAACTTAGACAGAAACAACTGAAATCAGACAGAAAAAAAACTACCACAAAAAGACAGAAAAAGACCAAAATGAGACGCAAAATTACCAATATGAGACGTAGAATCACCACTAGAGCTGGACCCGAACAGCCGACTATTCGTTTGCTGTCAATCAGTTCTGATCTCTGAATAGAAACGGGTACAAACAGCTTATTTTGGGGGATTTTATAAAAAGATTTTGATGAAATGTCACAATTTTATACGGAAGCCGAGAGCGGTCATGGACGCACATTTTTTTAAACAACATTTTTTTGAGATAACGAGATAATTGTCCCGTTGACAGTTTCGGCTGTCACTTCAGCCTTCATCAGAAGTTGTCGGACTTCCTGGTGTGACGTATCTTATATAGACAGCTGACCGGGAACTCCGACATGACGTGTCATGAGAACAGCTGACCGGGCACGGCAACTTACAATGAAGCACTCGTGCCCGGTCTCGTCTGTCCTCCGGCCCCCCGCTGGTGACTGACGATGGATTCCATCCTGGACCGGGCACGAGCGGGCAAACACAAACACCAATTATCTCGTTATCTCGAGAAAACGGCGAAGAAAGAACAGTAGCTGAAAACGACGGCTCTCGGCTTCTGTAATTTTAAGCTTAGATTTGGCTAATTTTTTTCAACAAAACCGATCAGGAAGTTATAAATCTGGATCCTTTGTGCTTTAACGGTTTCTGTCTCTGATAAATGGGGTGATTTTTGAAGCTAACATGGGGTTGAGACGGTTAAAGTGGAAATTTAAACCCCATCCATGTCTGCTAGAGTTAGTTTGTGCTGGACTGTAAGGAAAGACCAGATCAGAACGAGATAAATGATCAAATCCTGACCTTTTAAAGAGAGAATTCACGCTCATGACATTTATTTGCTCATATATTCATTAAACCTGAAGCAGCACATCCACGTTGGAGCTCCGCAGCACACCTGTGAGCATCAACACCGTCCAAACCGGTCTGAGCTCTTTGATGAAAGGCGTCACTACGCTCAGAAACTCTGCCGTGTTTTTCCGAAGCAGATGAAAGAGGTGAAGCCGTGACTTCGGCCCGCCGGAGGCCCGATCTGCATCTCCAGATCCCAATAAGAGATGCGAGAGGTGAGATAAAGGCGACGACGGCGGCTTCAAACGCCACAGACGCTTTTAATTAGGCTAATCTGTGGGGCGAGGCTGCTTACACAAACTATGCAAATGAGGATGATTTTAGAAAACCATCAACCGGGACAATGGAGCTGTCATTTTATTATGCTTTCCCGCAAAAAGTTCAAGTCATATTTTCTTTTTAAAAAAGCCAAAGTGGTCTTTAGATGACTCATAATGTGCTTTTTTTTTTTTTTTCTTTCCTCTCGCGCCAGAAATCATTTTGTAAGAAGGAGGTCTTCAGATGGAGGATATCTCGCCGCGGAATGAAACATTCACTTATTAAATAACGGAGTTCACCGCAGAGAGGGTGATAAAATTTAACGGCAGGCCTCGGGGCTGAGAAAAGACGTTTGAAAATCACAGAAGAGCTTCTTTTTTTTCTTTTCTTTTCTTTTCTCTGCCGGCTGAGCCCGAACGTCTGACGGGAAGGTGGTAAATAAGAGTCGCTCCCGGTGGTGTTGGCACCCGAGAAGACGTTCCCCGACCTCGATATCCATCCCGAGTACGAGACGATTCGCACGTCAGCGAGCGGGAAAACACGCATTCGGGTGTATGTGTGTGCATTAGAGGCATTTAAGAAGACAGGAAAAGCAGCAAAAGAAGACCAATGTGACACATAGAATGGCCCCAAGAGACGTAAACGGCACAAATCTGACATAAAACAACCTAAAGTACCGAAATGAGACACAAAACGAATGCAAATTGACATAAATGAGATCAAAACAATACCAATTGTAATACCAAAGATAAAATTAGACTCAAAATGAGGCAGAAAAAGACCAAATTAAAAGCAAAAAGAGCAAAATAAAACATAATCAGACACAAATGAAACCAAAAGAGGCACTAAAAGGCTAAAACAAAAGACTATTTGAGATACGCTAAACTCAGGCACTAAAAGATCAAAAATAAGATAAAACAGAAGCAGCATCAACATAAAAAGACTTAAATGATAGAAAAAAAGACCAAATGATGCACAAAAGAGATAGAAAAAGGCCAACATGAGACACCAAACTACCATAAAAAGACACAAAAAAGGCATAAGAGGCATAAAATATGATGCAGAAATACCAACATGAGACAGAACATGAATG